TTTTTTTTTTTTTTTTTTTTGCCGATGAGTGTGGGGGAGTCGTTTTCAGTTCTTCCTTTTCTTTGAAGGGTTGAAAATGAAGGTGTAGCTGTAGGCTGTAGCTATAGCTTGGTGTTGATATTGGGCCCGACTAGCTGACCTGAGAGCCCAATAGTTTTTTTGGTGGACGAGGATAGGCCTAATGATGGCCCATTATTAATTGTCGATTTTTAATGGCAAAATGTGATTTTGAAGTGATTTTTTTGGCTAATTTACATACATGCTTTAGTGATTGCCAAAATATTGCACATATACGAAATTAAAAACTTATTTGCAATATAACCAAACTTACCATAAGTATCTACATAAATGCTATAAATTAGTAATAGACCATTAACATAGCAGCCAATCCTCTCTCTCCCTTCATCTGTGGCCATTTGTGTTCTTCCAAACAACAAACTCTTTCGAGTCTCATGGCGCTGCCGTCAATACATCCTCTTCCTAAATCTCCACAAAACCATAAATTGTTTTTTTCTAAATTATAAAAAAACTCAAAAGCAAAAAGAGAATATGAACATGAAGCAAAAGAGAATATGAACAGAGCTCTTCCCTTCGATCAAGCAGTCCCTAATGGTCGCACGTGTATGTATAGTTGTATACATCTTTTTCTCTGTATTTTCATGCTTTGTTGTGTCGTTAATTTAGGTCCTTCTATTTGTATATATGTGGTATTTTTAACAAAGTTTGGTGTATATTTAGTATATTTTCTGGGTTTTTTTATAAATGTTATTGTCGTCTTCCACCGATCAGAAAAAGAAAAAAAAAACAAAGAGAGGGAGAGAGAGAGGGAGGATTTCACCAATCAAAAAAAAAAAAAAAATAACAGAGAGAGGGATAGAGAAGAATGGAGAAGAAGAGATAAGAAGGAGAGAGAAAGTCTACATTTAATTACGCTAATCAGTTATAGCATACTTCAATTAATTATTTTTTATATATTTAGTAATTATGCAATTAATATTATGCATGTGGTAATTTTGCAATAAAAAGTTATAGGGGTTGTACAGAGTGTAATTTCCTCATTTTTTTTCATATCAACGAAATGAGATTTCACGCAAATGCTCATAATTTTCTCTCTCTCACACTATTAAACATGCATTGATATACGGTGAAGGGTTAAAGGGTGTGATTGTTTATGGATTAAACTAGTTTTTATTTGATTTTTTTTAATTATAGTTAACTTTGAAAAAAGTGGTATGATTAATTGTTAGTGGATGTATTAAAATAATATTTAAATAAAATAATTAAAGTTGATTTGATATAAAGTAGAAAAAAAATGATTGGAAGTGATGGCTAATTAAAACTATGTGAGTGGATGAACAGTGAATTAAATTTGATGTGATGTGTAAAAATAATTGGTTGATATTATTTAATTATATTTATAATATAGGTGATAGTGGTGTTGGGTTAAAGTTGAGTTAAATTTAATTTTTGATTGGTTTTTTTACTGTTGAAACTATAAACAATTGCCCCCTAAATAACCGCAAAAGAATTGTACCAAAAATAAATAAATAAATAAAAATAACCGCAAGGAAAAAAGAAGATAAAAAAAAAACAAATCTTATACCTATAATATGATTGGGAAGAAAATAATTGTTCTTCGTGAAATCTCCTTAGATATCATGGATTAGAAAGCAAAAAAAATCAGATAAATTTATTCTTAGTGAAATCTTATTCGATAAATAAATTCAGATATATTGTATATATACGGCCTAATAACCATCAAATATATTATTATTATTATTAGGTCGTATATTGTATATATACGGCCTAATAATAATAATAATAATAATAATAATAATAATAATATAATAAATTTTTACATTTGAATTGTGTTGATGGGATTGAAATAAAAAATAATAATAATTAGATAAATAAAGTATTTTAAGATTGTGTCTAAATATAAATCACAATTTCAATTCAGCATCTTCATACCCAGCATGTGGTAAATAGATACAAGAGATATTTGTATTTAAGGTGTTTCAAGAAAATATATTGTCATATTTAGTATGTAAATTATTTTAGTTTATCTTGTATAACCTTTGGCCTCACTTTTAAACCTTACACATTCTTGCAGCTACTCATTTCACTTACAATCACAAACTATATAGACTGAGCCAATTAAGAAACATGTACAAAATTATACATAATTTTATAATAATCTTGTGTTGATCAATTATTATGGACAAATTTCCAATTACAATTATACACTTAAAATGCTAGTAATTATCTAGAGATAGTTGTTAACTCCCTTCTCTTGTGCTACCTCTGTTTTTGTAGCTTTGTAACAAGGGATGCTTTTTCGTCTCGGCAGAAGACTCCAAGTCATCGGAATAATCGACATCGAATTCGGAATAATACTCCTCTTTCGTCTTGCCCCACATTACCGTGTAAAATCCGATGGCTATTATTGCTGCCCCGATTATGCTGCCACACAAAATTTTGTTCGATATTTTTTATTAAAAAAACAATTTTAAAAGGTTCAAAATCGACCGTATATGAGGTATTATATGCCTGTAAACGAGTTGAGTCGAGCTCGAGCCCTTAATGAGCTGAGCCGAGCTCGACTCGTTAAATAAACGAGTTTGAAATCAAGCTGGACTCGTTTATCACTAATAACGAGCCGATCTCGAGCTTCAACGAGTCGAACTATAGAAAATTATATAAAAATTATCTTTTCGAGCTGCGCGGAGCTCGACTCATCAACCAAACGAGTTTTAGATGAGCTCGAACTCGAATCGTTTATCAAACGAGTCAAGATGAACTCGAGCCTTAACGAGCCGAGCTCGAATCGAGTCGAGCCGACCCAGACTCATTTAATTTAACAGCACCCAATGCTTCACGTTACCTTCCGAGATAAAGAGTGTCGCCGAGGATAACAACTCCCATGGCAGCGGCTATTGCAATCGAGAGCGGCTTAAACATGGCTACGTAAACGGGTCCCCTCAAATGCAGGGCCCACGTGTGGACGGCATTGTTAATGCAACAACCGAAAAGGCCCTGTAAATATTAATTAATTAATCGATTTGTTAAAACCAACAAGCATGATTAGTCGAGCAACTTTCAAGAAAAACTTACCGAACACAATACGGACACCAAAGCTACATTGGGCCTGATTTTCCATTTATTGGAATCGGGCTCTGCGAAAAGCCCGACAATGGCAGCTAGAATGCTCACGCACGATGTGTAGAAGAAGACAATCGTCAACTCTGCAGGGTATTCTTTCATAATATGTGCCTACATGCAATCCGAATTTTTTTGTTATAACTAGATTTATACCCACTTTCCGGGGGTATTTTTGCAATTATTGTAAGAAACCGGCGGTTTCGTGTAACTACTAATTACCTGAATAATGTACCACACGGGCACGAGAAGATACTCGACCGACAGAAAAAGGCTGCCGATAATCCAGTTGGATTGTGAGGAGTGAAGGGATTGATTGAGCGAAACCGGATGAGTAGATTGAGTGGCATTAATGCTCGGCCCTTTGTAAAATGTCACGATAAATGCCCCTGTTATCGACACAATCGTGCCAACAACTTTGGCCCGACTACTTGTGCTCGATAACGTTACCTTTTCCATCCTGCAAAAATACATACATACACACACATATATAATAACCTACTGATTTCGACGCATTGGATTTTGATAACAAGTTACATTTTGCATTGTTACTTGTTATTTAATACTTGGAAAATGAGGTGACCATCACAATTCATCGAGAACTCGACTCTAAAAGTGTGGGCTCCGTCAGATCACACGCACAAATGTGTGTTTGATCTGACGTCTCAGACCAATATCCACACACCGGTACGGTGACATTCACCCATAATTCATATGCAATTTAGTGATTTATTTATCAATTTATTCGTTTTCTTTACACTATTCGGATGGAGACGAGTCGAGTGAGAGTGACGATTCGCGAGCATTAGTTGGGTCTAAATGAGATTTGTACTTTGTAGCAAGAAAAAAGTGTTTAAAGTTAAAGCACAAAACTACATCTCAATCACATCAAGATTTAATAACTATACCAAAAGTAGAAAAACAAAAAAAAAGCTTGGGCAATTTGTCGAACAGTATGTGTGCATAAATGGAAAGGATGGCTAGTGCTTGGTCTAATGGTCCCATTTTTCGCATTATCAAACATGAATGAAAACAAGAATAAAAAGAGGGCAAAGACAAGAGAAAGAGTGAAGTGAAAGTGTACCTGAAAATGATAGCAAGCACAAAAGTAAAAGCTGGAGCTAAGTTGCTCATGGCGGAAGCAAGTGTGGGAGAGCCGTAATTAATCCCAGTATAACCCATTATTTGCGACGCATACCTAAACCAATTATTGGAACATATTATGTCAGAGCGCTTTAAAATGAACATATTATGTTACAAAATGAACACGTGTGAATCATATTTGCACATGTTCATTTTGTAACATAACAGTTCATTTTAAAACGCCACTGGCACACCTTGTTTGGTGTGTCAGGGCGCATCTAAGTATTTGAGTTATTAGATGGTTAGATATTCTATTTTTTCGACAAATGTGCACAAGTTCAACTGAAATTGAAATAGTTAGTCGGTCCAGTCTAACGGTTAGACGATCATAATTTTTTCTAATAATATTCAGACTTTGGAAGTTGAAATACTAAGTCTATTACAAAAAGACTAAAAATATGACCATTGTTCGTTTTTTATAAATAAAAATACTTACTTATATTATGAAATGTCATAATTAAGTTAAAACATGAAGTCTATTAAAAAAAAGCTAGAAAAATGGCCGTTTTCTTCTTTAATTAATAAAAATAAATACTCATATAATGAAATATCATAATTTCATTTATTTTGTTTGAATTACAAATTTTCAACTGAAAAATATGAATACCTAGACATGACCAAAACCTGGGCCACGTCCCGACCCAACCGGGCCTCCGGGTTGAGTTTCATGGACCCTGAACCGACACGGATCTATGTTCGTGCCGCGTCCATGACTCGGTTAACCGGACAGTACCGAGTCAAGGCCGGGCATCAATTATTAAAGAAAAAATATAGATTAATATAAAAAAAATTAAAAAAAAGGGTCAGCGGCCCGTGGCCACGTCTAGTCGAAAAAGTATGGTTGCCTGACCCGTTTGACCAACCAAATATTATTTTTACTTTTTTATAACTAATATGCATAGTTTCAAACTAAAATAGTAAGTCTTATGGTTAAATAGCCATATTTTTAATCAAATGTAAATGCTCTTAAATTAAATAGTAAAATTTATCATAAAAAAAATTATGACATTCCTACAATATATATGTATTTATTAATTTTTATTAAACAAAAAAACTAGTATCTAAGCTCACATAAGAATTAGTATCTAAACAAAAAAATTTTAATTGAATTAATTATTTTATTTTGAGCTTGAGTTTCACACTTTCACTCACCCGACAATACCGAGGAGAAAAATCTTGAGCATAATAGAGAAATTCAACGAGGGCAAAGCCCTTGATCTGCAATAATCAATAATTTAAAAATAAAAATAAAAACAAAAAAACAACAATAAATAAATAACAAATCAAATGAGCTATAATAAGGCAAAAAAAAAAAAAAAAACCCGACCGGCGGGAAAAGAACGGGGATGGAACGAGGACGAGCGCCGCCACGGCGTAGGCGTAGACGAGGAACACGTGGCGGCTCATGTGGTGGCGCGTGGCGAACTTGAACAGAGTGTTGAGGCCGACGTTGGTGCACTCCATAGCTACCAACGCCGTGAAGGGCACTAATTCTCTGTAGCAGTACCTATGGTGATCCCCTGCTCCTCCTCCTCCTCCTCCTCTTGCCATTTTTTTTTATTCAATTCGTGTTGATGGCACGCGCAATACTTGAACAAGATGGTTTACTTTGATATTTTTTTGATAAATAATAATTGCGTGCAGTGGGGTGCATGGGAGTGTGGTGCGCCGGACCCACGAGGGAGTTGAAAAACACAGAGAAATTAAGATTAGAAAAATAGATATACTCTTTCGTTCGGTGACATTAGAAAAATTAAGGTATGTTATGGATTTTGAGAGTCCAACTTTATTGCAGATTGCATGGCGAGGGTGGCTACAAGGAGCCCGGGTGGATTCCAATCTTTCGAAGTGGCGTCGGGTGAGGTTCGAGAATGGTTACACCATGATATTGTTGGGGTCTCGTACACTCGACACGTACCGATTTCCGACTTAGGCATTAGCCTCTCTCTTTGTACCCAAAAATAAATAAATTATATGATAGAGAAATATTACGGTCCCGTTATGAAACCAGTCTGTCGGGATTTGTAACCGTTTGATCAACTACCCATGATCAGTTATAAATTTCGATGAAATGATTCTGTAATTAATTAATTATAAATTGTTAATACAATTTACTCGTCAACCAGTTATTATAATCTACTTAATAATTATTTGATATTTTCTATCGGCCAATAGTAGCCAAACAAAAATTTCATATATGAGATTCCTACAACACTTCACAACATAGTTTATGAGTGGCGTACCAATATTTAAAATCATGTCAAGAATGGATTAATAATAATTAAGAGTTAATGATAAAGTTAATTAGCAAAACATTATTGGTGATTTGGTATAGTTCTTGGCAAAAGACAAATAGATATTGTATAGTATAGTTGGTGCTAGTGACGTGTTCAGATTTGCGGTTAATAATTACCCATGATACATACAATAATGTCTCTTTGTTAGCACAATAAACGACAAAAAAAATACCCTAAAAATATTTATTTTCTTAACGTTTTATTTACTATTTGTCATATCAAAAATAAGATGTACTATTTTCCGATCATTTTAAGTTTCTCCGGTGGAATCGAAGGCCAAATATAAATACATTTTCATATAAATGAAACTAAGTCTGATATAGGATATTATACTCACGAAGGTAAACTGGTCTGCCGAACCGGTCGAAGGGGTTGTACCATGAGAAAGCCGAACCAATCTAGCAGTTATCGAGCAAGATGACGATGGTCGAATACCTTGAAGGTAAGAATTGGAATATTCTAGGACAGACAGTGTATCCCAAGTAGCGAAAAGATCGACCGGTCAAGCGGTCGAGCAGTCGAGTTGACCTCAATAGATCGACCACTCTATGGATTGACAGTATTCTGATCGACCTAGTCACAGGCGCGTGCAAGAGCCTATAACCGAATTTTAGGGGAATATTCAGAGGAATAATCATCCCATGGGCAGAAGACACGTGGCGAGAATGCATTGGTTGACAGCGACAACCACCTCTGACAACTCCCAGTGTCACCTCTGACATACGCGCGGCGTGTCAGAGTACGGACGGGCAGCTAGGGCAGCCAGCTCACCATGCCCAGGCAGCCCTAGGTCAGGTATCTCACCCCTATATAAAAGGGGTGAGCATTTCTTCCTTAACACACAATTTCTATTATTATACTCAAACATACACATACTTACTTAAGCATCGGAAACTCTTCACCAGAGAACCCCCTAGTGTGAGAGTTGTTTGCAGGTTTCTGGCGTTCTACCGGCGAGGGCGAGAGGCGATCTATTCCAAACCGGCCAAGACGCTCACACTTGCATTAAAGTCCAAACGATCATCTGCACAAGACCTTTTTTTGCTTGAAAGCAATATTTTGAATGTAATAAATACAAAGTTACCAATTGTGGAATCATAGAAGTACCAATGGCGAGTCGTTTTTAGGCGAGGGGCTCGACGGAGACTCATCGGCTGGTGGGGCCACTAGTTCTTGGAGGCCTTGAACACCCATTACAAGGCTCTCGTTTTGTGTTGATTCATTTTTTCTGAGAGGGAATCCACAGAATGATATATTTAATCTATTTTATTGGATGAATGATATGTTTATATGTGATATAGCCATACCTCGGCTAATCGGAGCTGCGACTTCAATGATCAACGAATTTCATAACTCGGTAGACTTAACTAAAACACAGCTTCAAGTAGCTTGAATTGAGCCGGTCTAACTACCTATGAGTGGTTGAGGTCGAGCTAACGAGCTAATGAATGAAAAGGACCTATTGACCTTCAAGAGGTCAAGCTTAAGAACAACTATTTGCATTATCGAGCTAACTAAGGAAGAAGACCTATGGACATTCAACAGGTCGACAGAATTATAATGGCAGCCTAAATGATTAAGATGGATCTAGAGCGAGTTAAAGGTGAAAGGTAACAGCTAAACAAAACAGATCATAGGCCTCGACATCAGGTCGAACGACCTAAAGGGCTTGGACAAGGGCAAGATAGTTGGGAGAATACTCGACCTAAATACCTAGGACATACTTACATCAAGTATGACAACCTAAGAAAAGAGACTTAAAGACACCCCATTTCATATCACTGAGTTGAGTGTTGGATTTGCATGCCGAGAACTTCTCCTGACCCTTATTTTGCAAGTGATCAGGTTCAGACAATTGGAAATTTGCAATAGTCGGTTCAACCTAGATCTAAAATTTGAAACATTAATATGATAATGCATAATTTAATATATCATTCATTTAACTAAATAAAACAGAAATTAATGTGAAACATCTTATATATATTTTTTTTTCGGTACAAAGATGGAGGCTATAGGCCTGAGATTACTAGTCTAAAACGCGACGGGGGTGAGCCACCCCACAAAGATCGTGGTCAAGTCATGCGCCCAAACCTTGAGGAGGTGACGAGAGTCTTTGTAATCCTAATGGGTACGAGGCCGCTATCATCGCCATATGATCAGCCGCGAAGTTGGCTTTCCTGTGCACATGTTGGACCCGAACGCTCAATTCTCGATCAATCAAGCTTCTGGTGGCTTTGACTATATACTCGTGGGTGCCAACATGAGCGCGTGATCCAGTAACCATATGCAACACACCAAGGCTATCGATTTCCGCCACAATCTGCCGATCTCCGGAGTCCCAAGCCAGCTGAAGCCCCTGGTACAATCCCCAAAGTTCTGCTCCTGTGATGGTACCGAGCTCAATGTTCATAACAAAGCCTCCTGTCCAACTTCCGAGCTCATTCCGGAGGAGAGTCCCCGCACTGCAGAGTCCCGTGTTACGGTTAAACGCCCCGTCCGTGTTCACTTCAAACTAGCCCGGGTTCGGTGGGTGCCATTTAATCATTTGTAAGGAATATAACGTTGCACCAGCCTTCACGTATGCCGCGGTTGTCTTGCCATATGCTTCTGCTTTACGAGTAACCTCCCGAAGACGAGCCTCAAAGTCCAGCGTTTTATTCTTGAATATTCTGTCATTCCTCCATAGCCATGAATTCCAAATCCCAAAAGGCAAACTGGCTGTTCCAATTTCTGTTCACAACCAACATCGAGCCACCCAAATTACACGTTAGCCAAGATCGGAGGTCCTGTTGAAAGAATAGTTTCTCCAAACCTGAAGGAACCAACTTGCGCCACATCGCTTGTGTAGTCGGGCAATCACGTAACACATGCAACGTGGTTTCGGTCTCGCCACATATGTCGCACTCCGGTGAGTTGCGAGGTGCCGCCGTACCCTTTCGCCGTTTGTCAGCAGGCGGTCACGTGCGGCCAACCACATGAAAGTTCGAACTCTTTGCGGTGCAGGGGACTTCCAAATCAACTTCCCAGAGGGGTCTATCCGGGTCGCTTATCGGTTGAGTTAAAGACGTGTAAGCCGACCGCGTAGAGAATTGCCCATCATGAGACGCACTCCATATTAGACGATCCTCCCCGGCTTCTTCTCTCGGTGGGATGATTCCAGCAATCCGCATGATGATGGAAGACGGAAGAATTCCAGAACTCGTTCCAGCTCCAGTTACCTCGCTCATCTATGTAGTCCACAACTTTCCGGCTAAGATCCACGTCGGGCGGTCTCTGGTAGACGTGATTGGTAAGTGGGCCAATTGGTCCCACCCACGGATCGAGCCAGAAACTCACCTTTTCCCCATTGCCGACGTTCCATCGAGTTTCCCGAATTATTTCGGGCCAGACCTTATACAAAGCTCGCATTAAGGGAGAACCTCTACGGCATCGAAGGTTATCCAATCCATTTGAGGAGTCAAGCCCATATTTGGCGTACATTAGTCTGGTCCATAATTGAAATTGGAGGAGGCATACTCCTAGAATGCCGGTCGGTTTACAAAGCCGAAACAACGCGTTGGATAGTTGACTGTTAATTGGGTTAAAATTGGGCTTTACCGAATTGCTTCAAACCTCCTTCTCCCAATAAAGTTCTTGGGCCTACTTCGGCTGCCTCAAAATAGGCCCATGCAAAAATTTGCTTAAGAAGCCATCAATTTGTCACTATTTACAGACTTTTTACATCGTGTTATGTTCCTATGTTAAATCACCGACCACGTGGCCTTGACGCCAAAAACTCCTTAAAAATACAGCAAAAGCAAGTAACATACATGAATGTCGACACACACACGGTCACACCTTTTCTCCATCCATTATCCTTTGTCGCTCTTTCTCATTTTTTTTTCTTTTTTCTTTATATTTATCTCCACATTTTTTTTCTGGTCATCTTCAACAAGCACGATCGCTCTAACCTGCGCCTGCCCTTCTTGCAACAATCCCAGATTCTTTTCTCGGTTAGTTAAGCGCGTCTGTGTAGATTTTTTTCCTTTTTGTTTGGCTAATGTCGATCGATACTATATATTTGTGGGATTCTTGAAATTATTCTACTGTGTTTGCCTCCGATGATGATGTGGGTTTTTTTTGTTTCTTTACAAATATCAATTTTGTTTCATTTTTTGAGTCGAATCGAGCTTCGATGTTTTTTTTTTTTTTTTTTTCTGCAGATGGGACTGTTACTTTTTTGTTCTTTTTTAATTTTTATTTTAGGGGAAAAATGTTTTGAGTGCATAAAATTGTTGTACATTTGTAATATTATCGATAAGTTGAAATATGAAACAGTTCAACTAGAAATCAGTAGTTTTTTTTTTTTTTTTTTTTTTTTTTTTTTTTTTTTTTTTTCTGATTTGGAGTACTCTGTAGACTAATCTGCACAAGACTGATTGATCTGTGTGATTTTGTCTTCTTTTCTCTTTTGGGACATCTTACTTTACATGGTTTCACAATGTAAGAATGGATCTATTCATTTTTTAAAGTCAGCCATAGAGAATGCAAAGCACTTGCTTGAAAAGTTGGAACCTTTGTGTATGAAAAGTGAAAAAGAACCAATTTTTTTCATAGTTGTATGTCGAGCCTAATGTTCATTCATCCTGTCGGCTTTGTAAGAAGCTTGTTCGTATCTGTGCCATTCAAAACCTGAGTTTAAAAATTATACATATTTGTTGAAATCGATTGGCACCCACCCTTCTCTGTATTTTCTCAACATTTCGAGTCTTTTGGATTCTTTAATCGGGCTGGAATAAGTTTGTAAATTTTTTGACTTCTTTGTTATCTGTTCCTGTTTAGGCCATACACTGTTATCTCTCTTTACAAAATGTCTTCTCCTAGCAAGAGGCGAGATATGGATGTCATGAAACTGTAAGCCGAAATCGATTTTGTTTTTTTTTTTTTAAATGTTATGTTCACGAATATATATATTACCCGAATCAAATTCCTTTAGCATATTTCATTTGTTATGAACATTGCAATTGCTTTTGACTATCCTTCATGTCTTTGTAGGATGATGAGCGACTACACCGTGGAGCCCATTGATGATGACATCAACAAGTTTAATGTGGAATTTCATGGCCCGAAAGAAAGTAATGCTATCACATTTTTTTGTTTTCCCTTAAACTGTGTGCGTTAGATGTGAATTTTTTTTCATACTTGCCTTTGCATTTGGGTTTTAGTAGTCTTTTACTTTCTCCAACCAGTGAAATACTCATTTTTTTTTCTTTTTTAACAAAAATTGTTTATTGCTGAACTAGTTTGAATGGCTAATGCTCGGGAAAGCTTTATTGGCAAATGTATTAGGAATGTTTTTCAGCCCTTTGAAATTGACTTCAATTTTGTGTCAATTCTATCGAGATAAATTGACTTCAATTTTGTGTCAATTCTATCATATCTCGTGCCAAGTCTATTCGATAATGTGCTGCGCTTCATTTTCACCATTTCATTTCAATATTTTGCAATTGGCATTTCCTTGTGCAGATTTATATGCTTCATAAGATTTATTTGTAGTAATTTCGAAAGTTGGTTTTTAGGTCCTTACGAAGGTGGATTCTGGAAAGTTCATGTGGAACTTCCGTATGCTTATCCTTACAGGTCTCCTTCCATTGTGTTTGTCAACAAGATTTTTCACCCAAATGTTGACGAACAGTAAGTCATTCTGAAGGCCTTATCTCTAAATGATCCTCCATTCAGAAAATGATTAATGTGATTAGTAATTTATTTATTTTTTTCCCTTCGCCCGTTGTACATTATTTTTCCTGTACTCATCAATTTTGGCTTTTTTGGATTATAGGTCTGGTTCTGTATGCTTGGATGTTATTAACCAGTCGTGGAGTCCAATGTACGGTAAGATAGAGCTTCATTGAAAAAAGTTTTGAACCTCACAATTATATTATCTTTCGGTGACAATTAATCTGTTAAACCGATTATAGAATCGAACAACCTGCTTTTTCAATCGTGACAAATGTGTGAAATTTGGTTATGACATAATTTAATGAAAATGCAGATCTGTTGAATGTGTTTGAGGTTTTCCTCCCACAGCTTCTACTCTACCCGAACCCATCGGACCCATTGAATGGCGATGCAGCATCACTAATGATGAAAGACAGAGCCCAATATGAGCACAAAGTCAAAGGTGAATTGCATTTTTTCTATCACTTTAAATCCGAGAGATTTAAATTTTCACGCACATTTTAAAGCGAAAGGGGAGAAATAAAACCGAAGATGGGGATAAGAAATGAACTAGTCCATATTGCAATTAGCCAATCACCAAATATTTAGATCCATGGTATAAAATGATATTGTAGAGATTACAATTGATGTGATATAATATATATATATATATATATATATATATATAATTGCTGGCTCATGAGCATTTAATAAAACCTATTAAATTATACCACCTACATGGCAATATAATTTTTCCCTCCAAAAACTGTTACTTTTTATTTATTTAACCTCTCATTTAATTATTAGATAATTAACACACTAATCACTTCAAAACTAGTACAGAGCCCGTGCGATGCACGGGGTGCACAATTTTAAGGTTATTTATATAAATGAATAAAAAAATGTGCAGGATATATATAGTACGTGACCTGTGCGAGACACGAGATATATTTATTTGGGGAATATTATATTATAAGATACAATATTCAATAAAAGTTTTACAATACGCAGGAAAATTATACAATAAAATAGTATTCAACAAAGAAACAATCATATATTATTAAAGACCTCCTTGTACATAGATATTAAATAATTTATTAGTAAAATAGTGTATAAATTGATTACAATAACAAAACAACATGCTCACGGAATTAGTAAAAAAACTCCATGGATTGAAGATTTAATGGGATTAAACATTTAAATTAGATAATTCGAAATTAGATAATTCAAAAGTCTTCCAACATTGTTTTGACTTTAATATATCACAACATGTGTATACTTTAAATATATTAATATTTAAGGAACTTTAAACAGCATAGCTTTTAAAAAAATGATTTTAGAGAACTTTAAACAACATATTTACGTCACTCATATAACAAATTATATTTCAACAGCATAGTTATAGTATTATTATAGTTATAGTATTATTTAAGGAACTTGAAACAACATTGTTAAATATTTACGTCCACCCATAAATTTTTTTGTAAGTCGAAGGTAATTAATCTCGTGCCTTTTTTTTGTTTGTTTGTTTAATTTTTTTGACAAAACTGATGTCATGGATAAAAAAAATAAATATTAAACAAATTAATTAAATAATATACTTTAGACATATATAGAATGCGGATAATCCTCTCATGCCAAACAATGCGATTTCAAAATTGACTCAGATCCAACAATCATATCCAATATTTCATTATAATAAATATTAAATAAAATGCTTTAAACAAAAATTAGATAAGGAAATAGATAAGGAATTTTGAATCTGCCATTTTTTAGTATAAATAGATTTTACGTACAATTTTTGACTTCACCGATTTTATGGGATTTGTTTTGACTAAATCGATGTTATTATGGAATATGACAAATAAATAGTCTTTTTTATTTTAGTAAAGATTTTACGTATTTTTTTTTGACTTATCGGATGTTATGAGTTTTTTTTTTTCTTAAACCGATTTTATGGGATATAAGACAAATAAATAGAATAATTAAATAAAATAAAATTGTAGATATAAATAGCAATGTATTAATTACATTGACTTTTCAACCTACTAAATTTGGTAAATAGGATACCTTATTATATAAGTATAGGTTACAAAAATCATTTTAAACTTTTGATTTACTTACAGCTGACCATATAATGTGTTGACTATTTAACGTGATTAGATGTTATTGTTGTGGTTACATTTAAATTAACTTTCTTTTAGAAAATAAAAAACGTACTTGAAATTTCTAAATAAATAATAAATAATTCACAAAAAAAATACATACTAAAATATACATTACATTCAATATGCTAAATGCAATTTAAGAAAACAAATATTCCAACTCCTTTAATTGTAAATTTGGCCCGCAAGAAAAATTATTAATCATTATATGCATAGAAATAACTCACTATTTTTTATTTATATTTGTGCATATATGCACATGTCGAATACTAGTAGTAAAATAATGATTGGTAAATGGTAAGTATATATGTAAGTGACTGAATATTTAATTTTATTGGGTAATGATATATAGCAATGATTAAGTTTTATTTTTTGAAAAAATATTGTGTTGAAAAGATTTTAGGAGAATAAATGTGAATGAACCAATGTTTATGACTAAATGAGAACTATAACTGTGAGTTTCGTGCCTATGTTCGAATTTTAGAGATAATTAAATACACATTCTTTTAGCTGATTTTTAAGCACCATCGACTTGTGAGTCTCGACTATTTATGCCTCATCGTGTTAATTTTATTCTTTTTTAATTTTGCTGTGGCTCAGAGTATTGCGAACGGTATGCAAAGAAGGAGCACATTCGAAACAACTCAACGGACGCAAGTGATGATGATGTAAGCGATGACGAGGCTATTAGTGATGGAAGGAGCGAAAGTGAAGACGAGGCTCCGGGACGTGCGGATCCATAGCCGTCAAAGCAACTTTATTGTCTGTCAGATTATTTTGTTGTTTTTGTATTATTAATTAATCAAGTCATGTAAATTAGGACTGCATTTGCAGCTAAAAAAATGTAATATTTTGCATCATAATAATGAGGCTATGAGAATGCATACAAATGGCTCAAATAAATTCATTCCTGTTGGAGTTTGATGTTATCTTGCAAAAGACTCGTGCAAGGTCATTCCAGATGGAGCTCGTCATTTCAAGTCGAGCAGTAGTATTCGCAAACCTTGGTTATGTTGTCCGCCGTTGCCTACAAGCCGTGCTCCAAATGCTCGACATAAATTCATGAAGGTTAGCAGCTTGAAAACTGTTTTTGTAGCTAAATTTGATCCTACCAAAGGATACTGATAGAGTTATTAAACGAAACGAGCCGATCGTGAGCTTAGCTCCGTTGGCTAAGGCTCGAGTTTAGCTCGAATTATTTGATAAAACGAGCAGAGCTCGAGCTCGCTTAAAGCTCGTTTTGCTAACGAGCTAGGCTCGGTTCGGCTCGACAAGACTCGAAAAGAGAATTTTTATATAATTTTCTATAGTTCGGCCAGTTAAAGCTTGAGATCAGTTCAAACTTGGCTCGTTAATATTGATAAACGAGTCGAGCTCAAGCTTGATTTTTGGCTCGTTTACTTAACGAGTCGAGACTACCTTGGCTCGTTAAAGGTGTCCGCGCTCAGCTCGACTCGACTCGTTTACAACCCTAGGCACTTCACTCATAGGTTTTTTCACCATAAGATTCACCATTGGACCAAATCCTAATAGTACTTGTGTTTTGTACATTTGAACTTGGGAAATCAAATCTTGATCAAGGGATGATCTTAAAAAAAAAAAAAAAAAAGTGGAACACAATCACATTAATAATGTTTTGAAATTGGGGCAGAACTCTCAAGATATACACATTCAGAAAAAGGGTTAAAATTTTTTAATTGAACTTATTTATGATTGTGTTGACTTTTACCAAAATCATTTTAATTCATTGCCAGCATTTTATTAGTGGACGACTGATTCAGCTCCTATCTAAGACAAACTTACGCGAAATGTTATGTCCCGTTATGGAACTATTTTGTTGGGGTTTGTTCCGTTAGATCATCATGTTACCGTCATGGATAATTGATCTAACGGTTACAAACTCCGACGAAATTGTTCCGTAATGAGACTGTAGCATCTCCCAAACTTACATATACAAATGCACAATCTCATTTTCAGATATAATACAAACGTCATTAACTCTAAATTTGAGTACTACTTTAACGTTACACGCATCTTTCCTCGAGAGATGCCAATATATATAAATATAGAGGCTAAAATCTTGGCTGTACGTATCTGCATATTTATGAGCAAATATTTTGTTTTTTTAGTGTGGGAGATAGTGAGAGAACGAGAAAGCTCATAAATTGTCCAATTTCGTTTCTTGTTCTTAGTATTTTATAAAAGGGGTTGTTGAGATTCCAATTTCCTAATCTAAAGAAAAAGAAAAAAAAAAAAAAGCTTTGTGTTAGGGTTTTTCATCTTTATTATTCAATGATAACAACAGGGGTTGTCATCTTCAAGCTTTGATTAGGTAAAAACCCAATCTTTATGAAGTTACTGAGTTTTGTCATCTTTGCACATCATTGACAGGTGTTGTTTCTACTTTCTATTACTACCTTAAACATATGCAAATTGCTAACTTTTATTAGCTCCTGCCCACCTGCATTGTAGATTTTTGTTTTTAGCCCAAATTGGGGGAATCACTAAACTGTTCTGAAGAAATTTAGCCCTCTTTTTTTTTTTTTAAATATTTGTTCACCAAGTGTTTGATGCTTTGCCAGACCCAAATCCCCTGTTTCCTGCTCAGTAAATGAGGTTTTTTTAGCCGGTTTTTTTTTAGAGTTTTTTAAGGTTTGGTTACAAGAATGCAAGAACTTGGATGGATAAAGAGGCACCAAATCAAACAAAGGGACAACGCTTTCTCTACCTACCCACCACCCCAAATCGTGCCCGATTTTCAGAAGGAACCCACCGTTCGAGCATCATCCGGATCCAAAATAAGCCCGGCCCTCCTTTTCATCATAGTCATCCTGGCCGTGCTTTTCTTCATATCCGGCATTCTCCACTTGCTTGTCCGATTCCTAACCAAGAACAACAATTCTTCATCATCGCTCGCCGGCCGGAGGAGCCCGGAACCTTCCGGTGGCTCCGGCCCGGAAAACACGCTCCAGAGGCAACTTCAGCAGCTCTTTCACCTTCATGACTCCGGCTTGGACCAGACTTTCATAGACTCGCTGCCCGTTTTCTCGTACAAGGAGATTGTGGGCCCCACGGAGGAGCCCTTCGACTGTGCTGTCTGTCTGTGTGAATTCACGGGAAACGATCAGCTGCGGCTGCTCCCCACGTGCAGCCACGCGTTCCACGTCAGCTGCATCGACACGTGGCTCCTCTCGAACTCGACTTGCCCGTTATGCAGAGGGGCCCTTTTCAATAACCCGGGTTTCTCGATCGAGAACCCGGTTTTTGATTTTTGTGATTTTCGGGAGGAGGATGATGATGTGGATGAGAACCGGTTCGCGATTTCGACTCGCAAGCGCGTCGAAATCGAGGAGGAGGTTGTGTTGGGAAAGAAGGGAGTTTTTCAGGTTAGGCTCGGAAAGTTCCGGAAGTTACACGAGAATAATGAAGGTGGGGTGGTTGAGAATGGGGAAACTAGCGCTAGCAGTAGTAAATTGGACGAGAGAAGGTGTTTTTCGATGGGTTCGTATCAATATGTGGTGGGTGATAATCTTAAGGTTGCTTTGGGCCAAAATCAGGTTAAACGTGGTGTTTTTAAGGAAAACTCGAGCACGGAGGGGAAAAGGATAGGTATTGGCTCGAAAATGGATAGCTATTCGGTTTCGAAGATTTGGCTTTGGTCGAAAAAGGGTAAACTCGGAAGCTCGTCTGGCGAAAGATTTGAGGGCTCGTCTCCTACGAATGTGGACTTGCCGGCGTGGATGCGTAGAACAGAAGGCATCTAAAAAGGTGTCGTACGTTTTTCTCTCGTTTATTAGTAATTCGTGCATGAATGGTGATCGAGTTTGAGCCCTAGTTTTTTTTCGAAAATTGCCGAGATTGGAAAATAGTTTTTTGGTAAATTTTTTTACTTGGTATAGCTATATAATTTGTTGCGTTATTAGTGATGCCTAAGCTAGATTCTGTTCATTGCTTTTTGTTGCTCCGATTCGTTTTGTACCACGATTCGTGAAATGAAATTATTATAATCGATATCAGGTGTTTTAACACCATCAACACTTGAAGTCATTTCACTAAACAAAGGCCTTTGAGACAAAGTTGGATTGTTGCTTTAGTAAAAGGGTCAAATTAGACAATGATTTAGATCTTCATAGATCTTGAATCTTGGGTGATTAAAAGTTGTAGTTTATTCATAATATCTGTTAAAGCACAAGCTGGCTTAGAGTTGTTAGCTAGAGCAGGTATCAAATTAGCTTTGTTTATGCTTTGTTTCTCATTCTTTATCTTTTTCCAACTCCAATAATTGCTAGCTTTGTTTTTTAATACTGTGTGAGCATTTTTTTTTATTTATTTATTTATTTATTTATTTTTTTTTGTGTGTGTTGTTGAGTTGTTTTTCTTTTGATTGGGACCCATAAAAGGGGACCCTTTTTATTTTTTTATTTTATTTATATATATATATTTTCATGGTGATGACTGACTCAATCTTGTGTTCCAATGAACTGAAATTTTGTTTTTGTTGCTAAAGGAACAAACTTTTTGTAGCCCATTATTTTGAAAGATATACAGGCTCTGCTTTTAGCTTTTGTATAATAGGTAAAACATTTTGTGAGTCAACTTTGATCTTCCCATTTCTATACATCTTGGATTTGTGCATTTGTTTTGTTAAACAAAATACTGAAAAAATTGAGTTTAAAAGATTGTTTATGGCTGAACCTTCCAATAATGTAAATAATTAATATTGTGGTTAGGGTTGCAAATGAATCGAGCCGCTAGCAACAGTGATGGATCTAGGATTTTCACTCAGGTGGCTCAATTTTAAATGTTAAATAACGAGTTTGTAGTTTACGTATAAACACTTATTTCATATAAAATTGTGTTTACTTATAAATATAGATAATTATATGTGTACTATCAAATTTTTAAAAACTTATAATCCGTATCACTCTCAATTTTTTTTTAAGAAAAATAAAATGAGATTTCGTGTATTTATAATTTAAGTTTAAGATCTATATTTATGAAATAGATAAGTTTATTTGTTCAAAATTTAATTTACATTGAACTTTTGCAACACATTGCATATCATTTTTTGTTGATAGAGCTTATCAAGTGACCATTTTATTAATAAAAAAATAAGTAAAGTTAAAAATATGTGATTACATACCAAAAAAAAAAGAATAAAAGAAAATTAGTAAAAAATCCACATTCAAATATACAATCGATCAACATTCAAAAATCTAACAATCCAACTAAATTCTAGGTTTTATGAATCATAAAATTGATCTACAATTAAGAGTCCGAAAGAGTAAAATTATTATATATTTTTAGAAATTTATCCAGCAATGTAAAATATAAAAATTGTAAGTATACTTTTTAATAAATAAAGTGTCATTACTTTAAATTAAAATAACATTGAAAATAAGTTTTAATTATTTATATATTCTACATGTTTTTTACATTTTTATTCATATTTTATAGTATTTTTTTATTTGTATTTATATAATGATTTTAAAAAATTTGAGGAGGGCCCACGGGCCGGACTGGACCTCTTGTAGTCCGTCCATGGCTAGCAAGTTGTTTGCGAGTCAACCTTGAGACTGTGTAAGTTCAGGTGCTCAACGAAACGCTCAAATACAAATGTTATTTATCTAAACACGTGAAATTCGATTTAACTTCGAGTAGAAGAAAAAGAAAAACCTTAATTATAAACTTCTTTAAGGTAGCTTTTATCATACTTATAATTTTTCCCAATATAGCCTTATAAAACATTCCAAATTAATTTTGTATTTATGCATGGGAGATATATGTTATAGTACTCTTCTCTCGGTCCTTTGTGCATTAATATTTATCTAGAAAAAAACATATACCAATGTAAAATATCAAAGAAATTTTTTACAACAATTCAGTAAACAAATGCAAACTTTAATTCACATAGCAAAAAGAAGACCTCATTAACTATCCCGGGAGATGCTACAGTCCCGTTACGGAATCATTCCGTCAAGTTTTGTAACCGTTAGATCACCATGTAACAGCCGGGAATAGTTGATCTAACGGTTACAAACCCGACGGAATGGTTGCGTAACATTTCCCCTACTTCCATATTTTTATCACACCACCCACTTCACATTACTAAGAGCATCTCCAAGAGCCTCCATATTCCTCTTTCTTATATCAAAAATAGGGATTTTTTCTAAAAAAATTGTCTCCAATAGTTCCCCCAAACTTGGTCATATTTTTAGGATGGCTGCAAATAAAGGCTTCCCTTCCTCATTCCTGGGGAGGGAAAAACGACCCCCCATTTCATTCCCGCCATTATTTTCGATACGCACTCTTTTCTTTCAACCTCTCGCGGTCTTTTTCCTCCATGCTCCTTTCATCTCCCGCTCGTCGCCCTCCACCGCCGCCCGCTCGCAGCATCCACGGCCGCCCCCTCGCCGCCCCTTAACAGGTCGAATCCCTCGCCGCCGCCGCCGCCGCCACTACCGGATGGAAGGTGCCGGCGTCTCCCCAGGACGAAAAGATGGCGCCGCCGCCGCAGCTGTCGCAAACAAGGTGCCTCCGCCGCTGCCCAATCAAGACTCCATCGCCGGCATCTCGAGAGGTCCACCCAGTCTGGGCTTCAATTGGGGTTTTAGATAGATTTGTGGGCCTGGTTCAGATTCAAATTATAAAATAGAGACTCTTGGAGGACAGCAGAAAATAGGAAACAAATGGATATAGGATGACTCCTTATTTCTCAAAATAAGAAGTCTCTTGGAGATGCTCAGGTCAGTTTTTTTTTTTTTTTTTTTT